CTTTTTTTCTTTTTTTCTTTTTTTTATGCACAGTATATAAGTGATTGTATAAAATGAAAATGAAAATGAAATAAAAATATCCAGTCAGTAAGAGTGGACCAGGTTGGGAAACACTGTGAGAGGAGGGGAGAGGGAGAAGGGGGAGGAGAAGGAGAAGGAGAAGAGGAGGAAAAGATGAAAAAGAAGAAGGGTAGGTAGGTAGGAAGACATCTGGATCCACACTGGGGGAAAAACCCTCCCCAAAACAACTCCTCTAGCCCCAAATCTTACCCATTAATTGGACTTTTGGACCTCAATCTCTTCATCCCTTCGGTCTTCCTCTTGGCATTTTTGACTGCCTGCACAGGCAGCGGGGAAGGCTTAATGCTGCCTTTGGTGTCTTTTGGCGATTCTAGAGAGGGGGGAAAGCGACAAGAAGTCAGAAAACCCAGCCAATCCGGGGACATTAGAAATTTTAGGCAAGCACTGCTTGATTCTTGAGGAAAAAAAGAACCCTCAAGAAACCGAAAACAAGATGGGCCCCGTCTCCCCCACAGAACCATCACCAGAGCCTTCTTCAGACTCCAGGACTGGCCCATGTTCCTCCCCAACCTCCTCACTGTCAGAATCTGCTCCCAGCTCTGTTGGCCGCTGGCAGGCCATGAGAACACTCACCGGGCTTGGGGATTGGAGAAAAACCAGACACGGCCAGATGGGGCGTTCCGTCTGGCACTAGGCCTTTGGCCTGGGCTTTTTCCTCTTCCATGGCCAGCCTCCGCTGCTCTACGCGGCTTTCCAGAACGGCCAGGTCAATCTGAGGAGGCAAAGAGAGACAGCACTTTAAGGCATCCTTTGCTTACCTGAAAAGGCTACGCTGAAGGGCAGGGCAGGTGGAGGGCAGGGAAAAGGACCCAAGGATATGAAGTACAGGTAAAGTCCTCAACTCACAACAGTTCATTTATAGTGGCCTCTCAAAATTACTACGGCACTGGAAAAAAAGGTGACTTAGGACCATTTCTCATACTTGTGACTAGGGCAGCATTCCCCAGAGTCAGGTGGTCGAAATTCAGATGCTTGGAAATTTGACTCATATTTACAACGGCCGTGGTGTCCCCCTTTTGCGACCTTCTGACCAGCCAAGTCAGTGTGGGGAGAGGGGGAAGCCAGATTCACTTAGCAACATTGGTGGGAAAGGTCGTACAATGGGTCAAACTCATTTCGCAACTGTCTCATTTAGCCATGTAGGTTTTGGGCTCAACTGGGGTTGTAAGCTGAGGACGATCTGTATTCCCCCACCCCCAACAGAAATCAGAGTACAGTTCCCATCACAAGCTTGATCATGGACTGCTGGATGGACGGAAAGGTGGATCTCCATAACCTTCCCAGCCCCTCAGGGAGAGAAAAGAGTCTGCTAACCAACCACCATGGCCTCCCATTTCACAAACCCGACCCAGCTACTCACCTTCTTCACTGTGTAGAGTTTTAAGATTTTTAGGCAGACCTCTTGAATTTCCTCCTCGGTAGCTCCAAAGAGAAGAAACCAGTGAGGGCGGTTTGGAAGAGGAATCTGCAAAGGAAAGGCATCACTCGTTCATCAACTAGAAGACATGTGTTGCCCTTCACACGGTCCCCTCTGGGAGATTCTTTGTAGGTTGTAGTAACGGGCCCCCCAAATCGCAGCCGCGCTTTCAAACTCTCAGGATGGCTTCCTTGGGAAAGCCATCCCAAGGGCTGACCTAACATCAACGTGGCGCAGTGGTTAGGATTCAGGATTGCAGGCCGACTCTGCCTACTGCCAGGACTTTGATCCTGACAGGGGCCCAAGGTTAACTCAGCCTTCCATCCTTCCAAGGGCAGTCCGATGAGGACCCAGATTTTGACTCTGTAAACCACTTAGAGAGCGTAAAAAGTACTATGAAGCGGTATATAAGTCTAAGTGCTATTGCGAAAGAGGAAGGAGAGGAGGAGAACTTGGGAGACTGAAACAAACTAGTTTTACTTGGGATCATCCCAATTTCTGGTTTACTTCTCGGGATATCGCTCGCTTTCTCAGAATCAAAAAATTCTCTTGACGGATGGTTTCCAACAAGACAGTTCCCTCCCCTTTAAGGAAGCTTTCAGGCCTTAAACCAATTTTGTTGTCATTTATTTTGCACAATGACAATTGTCTAGTACAAGGCTGTACCATACCAGCTTTGAGATTCAAAATATAAAACATTGAATTGCAATCCCATTCACAGCTCTTTTTAAGGCTGCTTTTTGTTGTTGTTGTTGGAGGTGAGGGGGAATAAGGGGAGAATCAACATGACTTTCGTAGAAGCCCAGGCCTGAAAACACTGGATTACTTCTGAGTCATTTATTTAAAATTTCCTAGCCTACTTTTCTACATTTCTTTCCTCTTCTGTGAGAAGAAAAAAGTCCCTAAACGCTCAATACAGAAAAATAAAAGAATAACAAAATTTGGAAGGAGCATTTGGAGGTCTTCTAGTCCAACCCACTGCTCAGACAGGAGACCCTATACCCATGATGGCGAACCTATTGCACTTGTGTCCATATCGCCTGGCACGCAGGATGTTGCCCATTCCTCTTTCGGGAAAGTGCATGCAACAATCAGCTGGCCTTTGGGTGCTCGGTAGTGCCAAAACCTGGAGGAGCTGGTCTCCCGTTTTCTGGTTTGAGCACATGTGCGTCAGTAATCAGAAGACTTTGGAAACCGGAGGTTCATTTTCCGGCACACGCATGCCCCCTGGGTAACTCCTCTTCCAGGCCGCAGCCCTCATCAGACGAGTGTGCATGCACTCCCTTCTCTGCACTCGGTGCCAAACAGTTTCGCCACCACTGCCCTATACTATTTCAAACAAACAGATATCCAGTCTCTTCTTAAAAAATCTCCACTGTTGGAGCACCAACTTCTGGAGGCAAGCTTTTCCAGGGGTTAATTGTCCTGTCATTCAATTTCTCCTTAACTGGTTGTCTCCTTGCTTCGTTTCCACCCACTGCTTCTTGCCCTGCCTTCGGGTGCTTTGGAGAATAGGCTGACCCTTCTCTACTCTGTGGTGGAAACGATTCACTAAAAAAAAAAAAACAGCAATCCTGCTAGGCAACACTAACATTTTTTTTCTTTTAATGCACCAACCTGAAGTGTCCGAGCAGCAAGGTAAATGCAGGCACAAGCGATCGTCTCCGGATGGTATCTCATAAAAACATCTGTTCGCAGGCTGTCGTTCATGTAATTCCTGAGATAATTTGGGAAGGGGAGAAAAGAAAGAAGTAGGAGTTGCTAACCTGCCCCCACCCCAAAAAAATTACTTCCTATACAGCATTAAGCCTCCTCCTTTTGCAATTTAAGGGAACTAACTTTTTCCTGCTAGCTAACCCTGTGAACTCCAACAAGGTGGAATGGGAACGGGCTGCTTCATCTCGCAGAAGAGCATCAATCTTAGAACATTGATCTGGAACGTTATCAACTGTACGTGGGTGTTTTTTATGAAGGAGAACCTGCTTTTAACTTTCCTCTCGGCTACACACTCTACTGGGCTGGCCTTACGCCAAGCACAAGGTTTACAGGGATCAAGTCGCAGCCGTCTGAAAACTCTCCCACCACAACACGTCCACAGTGCCAAAATAAACAAGTCTGCGGGAACAGGTTCAACGGTTTCACAGGAGGGAGGTGCAGAAATCCAGGGCTTTTCCAACAGCCGGCCTCTTCCGTCGCAAGCCGCTTCCGATGGGGAGATTCTCCGTGTTTGTGGGGGGAGGAAACCACTGGACCCAAATCCGTTTTGAGGGAATCAGCCAGAACACAACGTCCCATCCTTTGCCAACGAGGTACATGAGTCAAGTCGAACATAGCTTTGGGTTTCTCCTTGGGCTGTTCTTAACCGCCCGGCTGCAACAAGGTCTCTCAAAACAAATGTTCACAGAATGAAGTGAAAACACACAGCACATGGACCTCTGATCAGTCCCGTTTTGCACACACTGGAACACGGAAGGCAATGCAAGCAACACAGTACGTTTTCAACACCTATCATTTTTTTAAAAGTATCCCCACCCCACACACACAAGTTGTTGTCTGCTGGATGGGGTTTATGAGCCTAGGAGACAGGCTGCATTACGCATGGGGTGCCTACTTCTTGTGACGAATTTGCACACGGGGAATTTTAATTTCTGAGAGGCATTTTGTTACTATAACAAGAATCTACCGTATTTTTCGGAATATAAGACACACCTTCCCCCCCAAAAAAAGAGGGTGGAATCTAGCTTTTTGGAAGCTTTTTTTCAGCCCTAATGAGGTGCTAACCAGTGAAGCTCCATTTCAGGCAAAGCAAAGTGAAGATCACTCATTAGCACCTCATTAGGGCTGAAAAAAAGCTTTGAATATTTTTCCCTAGTTCCTTCCAGCTGGGAGAAGCCACCCACAAAAAGATTTGAAGACTGCCTTAAGAGGTACTTCTTTTCTATTTTTGCAGAAAATAGAAAATAGTTTCTATTTTTGGGAGATAATCCTCTCATGGGCAAAGCAGAGAGTTCTTGTGGCTACCCTGATTTCTATTTTGGGGGGGATAATCCCTTTTAAGGGCAAGGCAGGGATTTTTCCTGTTATCCGAGTTTTCTCAATGGTTTCCTTCAGGCAAGTGCTGGGCTGGTTTGTTGATTCAGCTTTGTTACATTTTAAGTGCTTAAATGCTTTTGGCTGACTGCTCGGATCTAGTTAAGATTTTTCTGCTGGGGAAAGAAAAAAAAGGCAAATGGTGAATGCTTGCTTGCTTGCTTTTCTGGTGCTATGGGAATAAAAATGAATATCTCATAGGCAGAATCCCCCCCCCCATTTTTCTCCCCAAAAACTAAGGTGCGTCTTATACTCTGAAAAATACGGTATCTATTGAACCTGTGTGTAGGTCTAGAATGATGAAAAAAATGACTCGGGTGCAAAAATGGAAGGGGGAAAAAAGGGGGCCAACCAACAATTATTTAACAGGAATGCCTTTTGTCCTCCCATAGTACAGGTAGTCCTCGATTTACGACCACAATTGAATCAAAAATGTGTTGCTAAGTGAGACGTCGTGAATTTCGCCCCATTTTACCACCTTTCTTGCCACAGTTGTTAGGCGAGTCAATGGCAGTGGTTCAGTTAATAACATGGTTGTTAAGTGAACCTGGCTTCCCCGTTGACTTTGCTTGTCAGAAGGTTGCAAAAGAGGGACCACGTGACTTCCGGACACTGCAACCGTCATAAATAAGAGTCAGTGGTCAAGTGTTTTAAGTTTTGGTCATGTGACCATGCTAGCACGACCGTATGGCCAGAAGTCATGTTTTTCAGTGTCATCGTAAGTTCGCACGGTCGTTAAATGAATTGATGTACATCAAGGACTACCCGTACTTATGCCCACCAGAATGTTCTGAATGGCATCTTTCAACATGTCTTGGGGCATGGAAAAACCAGGGGATGAAAAGAAGGGCTTAATAATAACAACCATTCTCGGATGGTGCCAATCTAGATCGACGAAGAGGGTGGGACCAGTTGTCCAACTAACCTTTGAATGGAGCTACTTCAGTTTAGATTAGAAGACACACCAAAATGAACTAATTGTGGTGACATCCCAGAGTTACAAGAGCTAAATGATCAAGGACAGCATCTGGAAACAACTGAAAAGTGTGGTTATGCAACATAAGTTCTTGGACTTCTCCCCCCCCCCCAACTTTTATCAGACAGCAGTAATTCCAGCAGAGAATCAAACATTCGAATTCAACAATAATTGAAGGCATTTGTTCTGGAAGGCCACGGTGAAGATCCAACTTTTGAAAGTCCAAATAGAACACCTGGGCCATACATACGATGTGCATAATAGTCAGGAAAGTTGACATCCCTTTTTTTTTTAAATAATAATTACAATACAATACAAAATCATAATAGATTTACAGCGTTTAGAGCCCCGTTCCCTCTCATCCCAAACCTCAGCGACAATTCAAGAAAGAAATATAAAAACAGCCAAGTTGAATCAAAACATTTGCATTTGAACTATTAAGATATCAAACATGATAGCATCATCAGAGCACCTGGACAGTAAATAACATAGGCTCATCTGGGGGGGAAAAAGTGTGCAAACAAAATGGAAAAGAGATTGGAAAACAAAGGAGGGGGGGAAATGAAACAAAATAAAAATAAAAATCAACAAGCAGCAGTTCGGCCAGTTTTTAACTCTACTAGCGGACGCATACCACCTGTCTAGAGAGGCAGCCTTCTCTCTGTTGGAGCCTGCTCGGGGTTTGACTGAAGACGCCAGTATTCCCTGCACCATTGTTCGTGGGCAGCAGAGGAGGTCTTAGTCACTTACCCGTCAGAGGCTACCCTTCGATCAAAAGAGTACAGAAAAAAAAAGAAAGTCAAAACAGGTTCTCCTTCCAAACCACGCCAGACAGTTCATAACAATTCGCTTTTTGAGATCAATGTTTACACCCTGGTAGGTTCACAGGTTAGCTGCTACCTTTCTTACTACGGGGGTCGGGAGGGGGGCAGGGGGAGAGGAAAGGGGAGAGGCTGGCTAGGACTGAGATTCAGAAAACACCAACGTGGAACAGAACAGATATATTTTAAGGATTCAAAACCTGGAAACGGGGACACGGACAAGGTGGCTGATGCCATTTTGGGAGGCTTATTGGTTGCCAGGAAGCTGCTGTAAAGGGACAGGGAGCCACTAGTCACCCAAAAGGTTATGCGTTAAAAAGAGAGGCCCCCAAGTGTCGCGGCTTGGCGGCCTAGCTGGGGTGGGTGGGAGAGGGGAACTGGGCTGTGTGAGCGTTCAAGCCCGTCCAGTTGAACACTCACGCAACGGGCTGCTTGCCCACCATTTGTGTGGCCCAATTCCAAACAGGCCATGCGGCCCACAGGGACCCCTGTGCTAAAAGATTGCCACCCCACACTTAGAATACGACCCACCCAGGGCAGTGTGCTTTTTCAACGACAAAACACTGTGCATGGAAGCTGCTTTTGTAACCTTCCAAGTTAATTTTCTTCCGGTGCCCGCCTGCTTCAAAGGGTTCCCTATGCAAAATGGGTAGAACATCATGTTTTCCTTCCCCACCCCCCCAACCCGGAACTTTCCCTCAAAATTTCCCACAGTAGGAAAAGAAAGGAAGAGCAAAAAGGGGGTGGGGGGGGGGAGAGATCCGCTCTCTTACCATTTTTAAGAGAATGTGTGTGTCTGACTCTTTTAGCAAAGAGGCCCATCCCACTCGGAGGGACAAGAGGTGGCATTCCGGGGGTTTTTAAAACAAAAAAATAATAATGGAAGGCCACGAATACGGCAGTGGGGCACGCGCATACAGCCCCCAACTATGACACATTCCTGCCACTGCCCCCGCTGGCCTCAAGAGAAACAAGAAACGTCAACTTACCATGAGGTCTGGACCAGGTGCTGGTTACGTTCACATTCTAATACCTGAAGGTACATAACGATTATCTGGAAGATACGGGTGACGGAGTTATACACGTGGTCAAGTAGCGGACAGAGGTATTTCATTTAGAGAGGAGGCCGGCTGAGCTAATGTCCTCTTTGTCAAGCTGCTCCAAGCCACAGCTAGTGTGTATGTGTGTTTGTGTGTGTGTGTATGCTGGTCTTGTTGTATACAGGTCTTTTCCCGTGTAAGATTGAGATTGAGATTGTCTTGGCAACGTTTCAGCGAGGTCTCACCCACCATCTTCAGGCTGGTGTTTTTGGCTTAAAGCGTGGTCGGAGCTGCCGTCTTTCTATAAATCTTGGTGTGTGTGTGTGTGTGTGTGTGTGTGTAGTGCTGGCTTT